CCCCAAGGCTTGGTAGGAATTGTTTTATAGATGAATGCATGTCAAAGGACATTCGATGGATAGAAGGAGCAGAGCTACAGCTATTGATTGCACTATATATTTTGCACATAATTACCCCAGACACCAGACATCACCGCTGGTTCTCTCTCGATTTTATCTTGTATATTCGTACCCCCCCCCCACAATGCGGCATTCCAGCAACGCCTCCCATCTTCCATCACTCCGAAGGTGGAGACTGGAGGCTGAAGTTAGTAATGAAATATCTAACGACCGGAAGTCAATGACAAATACTGCTGTTCCCTGCTGCCTGACTTTGTGGCAGAGAGTTTTCCACAGAGTTTGCTGCTGTTTGCCTTTTGCCTTTTGGCTGTTTGCTAATTTTCCCTCCTTTGCAGCACGTTGACATCAGAAAACACTCTCTGTCACTACCTTTTGAAAATGGTGTTTGATTCGTTTTCACAATCAGTTTTCTTCGATTCGTTCCGGTTATCAAGGTTATCAGATCAAAACAGGAAACGGAAATAGGAATTTTATTGTGCAAAACACATTCCATTCCATTCCATTCCACTTCACTCCACTCGAAACCAGTTTATGAATGAATTTTATGCCCAAAAACAAAAGAGTTGGCCTTTTTTTTGCGCACCCAGAGCTTCGGCCAACATCCGGATACCTGAGAATAGAACTGCTGGCCATAGATAACACTTATCAGAATGGCGGCACTGGCCTGATAAGAGTCCCCACCACAATCAGCGTTCAGTTCCAACCTGCACTAATAAATTTGCGCGTGTTCTTCACCTCAAACCAACGCGATGCGATGCACGGGATTCTTGGAATTGCGATAAGGTCCCAGGGAGAGAGCGTGCTCTACATGGAATATTACTCACTTTAGAAGCATATGATGATTGGAATAAATCTAGAGAGAGACGAGACCTCTTTCCCTCCCATTTACGTAATCCTAGATATGGAATCCCCGCCTTTCGCGTAGGCGGGGAGACTTAGTGTCGAGCAGCATCAATGGGGGAGATTCTTTCTCACACAAAATGTGGTCTACGTGACTTTTGTGGCGTATTCAAAGCTGAGTAAGTGGTCCATTGATTGGAACATTTTCGCGATAGGATTAGAAAAGGGTCAAATCTAAACCGGCATACTTGTGTTTCTACTACTGGGGATTCCCCTATTTATGCTTTGCATGGATGGTGAAAAAACTGGGAAGTCAAATATGAGGTGCGCTGTGCCAGGCAAAAATTTAGATATGAACGATACGTGATGAAAATTAAATTGGGACTCAAGAATTGGAATCAGTAATCGCAGGATAATCAGTTATACAAAAGGTATAGGTATAAGGAACTGAATTTCGGATCTAGATCCGATCTAGATCTTCTGCTAGATCTTAAAAATATTCTCAAATTTCACACAAGTGTAACTTTGTTTTCAAAGTACTAAGTTAAATAAATTACATTACTAATCCTCCACATGCAATCCGTATCAACTGCCACTCACGTGGATACCAGAAATCTCAGTCAAAAGACCAGCCCACCGTGACCAACAGCTGCATATGTACATCCATCTCTTCTAGTAAGAGAACAGACAGACAGAGGTACAGACACCCCATGGTCAGCATGATTGACCCATTTAAAGATCTCTGACTGCAAAAAAAACTCTCGTAATGAAGATCATCAGATGAGGAGTGAACAATGAACACCTCATATGATTACACGAGTATACGAGTGTACTACTCGCTTGTACCAACCGCAGCGTTTCTTTAGTCGCTTGGGAGGAGGATCAGTGCACCGCTCCTGCACTTCTGGGCATTAGCACCCCAAGTGGCCCTCACTCTGTGGGCCATGTGTGTGGCCCATGGCTAGGGTCTTCAGGCTTCGAGTCTGAGTACCGTGTTCTCTCATAATGAATTTTGAACACGCACAGACGTTTTGTAATTTCAAGTTTTGAAGTGCTCGAAGACGAAGACGTCTACGACTACGACTACGACTACAAGTCATACTCGTAATAATTGTTATAGTACTTTTTATAGTACATATGCACATACCCTACACTATGCACAGCAGGGGGGGCGGCCACCTTGGTATCTTCTCCTCCACACTCCTGTTCGTACAGGTAATATCTCAAAGATAAAGCTGGGAAGGGTTTTGTTCCCCCATCCCTGCATTTGTCGCCAATTATGCGGTTTTGTGATAATGACCAAATGATCTCTCTTCGTCTCTCTGTCTCGTCCGTCTGGCCCGCCGTCGCCTCACGTAATTTCAATTCATTCATAGATGTTCGTTTTGTTTCGTTTCGCCTTTCGTTTCGTTTTCCATTCATAAATTTACCTGGTACTCGTGCACCGTACGAGTAAACTCTCGTACCTCTCGTACCTGGCATATACCGCGAGGGTACATAGTCATCATAATAGCTTTATCTGATGTCTGCTCTTGGCTACACTGGAAAAATATAAAGATGGGCGTCGAGTCTTAAGCGATATTAAAGAGCTATATATTTTATTTGAAAGTTAAATTTTGTCCTGTGGATATTGAGCCTCCAATTTTGCCCAGTGTACCTCTGTTGCTGCTGCCGTTTCTTCTTCCTTTATGCACACACAGCACACATGCATATGGCGCATACTTATATAATTTAAGCGAGGCGGCGACGTGGCCCCCGCTTATCCATACGCTCCTGCTCCAACACACCTCCACTCCACCACCTCCCGCTATCCATTGGTCTCTCCATCTCACTCACTCTACCTTTATCGCCTTGCATTTCAATGTTCGATACATCGAACGGAAGCAGCGGAAGCAGTCGACGTCGACGTTGTTGGTGCTGGAGTTGTGTTGTTGTTACTCTGCTCTGCCTATTCTCCTGCTTGTGCTGCTGCTGCTTCTGCCAGCGTATCGGTGTCTTTTTCTTATCTTTGTTGTTGGATTTTAGAGGCCTCTACATTACCTTTCCTCTGCCTGCTGCCTGCTGCCGCTGTTGCTGCCTTGGACTGCTGCTTCTTCGTTTTCTCCTTCGGGTGTCTTTTACTTTTTTTTGTTTTCTTTGTTGTTTTTGTTCTTGTCAATTTGTCTGGAGTTTTTGTTCAAAAGAAGCGAATGCGCGTGTGAGGCAACACGAGAAATTCATTCATAAATTGCTTGTCTGTTGATCATGTGTTGTTGTTAGAGGGAGAACGAGAGTACAAGTGTGTGTGCTGGAGGGAGAAAGGGAGTGTTGTACGAGTGCGAGTATATGACGTGAGAGAGTGAGTGTGGGGGAAACCTGAGTAGATTTGCCATATGTGTGTGGGGTAGACGAGGAGATGGGGGGAGGGAGCAATCTGGTTAAAAAATTAAGGAACAAGATATGGACAAGGAGAACATGCAATAAGAGCAGAAAAGAAAAGCAATAAAAAAAGAGGAATAAATATGAGAAGAATGAAAGGCAGAATACGGAAGATTCCCTACGTTACTTCCACTTTCTTCAGTGATTCTTCCTTAATTCCTTCCCCGTTTGAATTTTCTCCTTTTCCCTTTACTCTTTTTCTGTCCCGCACCTGTTACACACCCTGTATGCCAATGGCGGGGGTGGGTGTGCAGCGTCACCTGTTGCCTCTGCGACTGGAATCCCATTACCAAAAATACAGCACCAAAAAAAAAAAAAAAAAACACGGCTTGCCTTTGGCGCTGTTTGTATTTGTATTTGCTTTTGGTTTTTTGCCTTGTTTTTTTAGTGTGTTTTTTTATCTAGCTGCCTTTTTGCCTTCTACCTCTTCCCTCTCCCTCTTCCGCTCTTGTTGTTTCTGTTGTTTTACGAGATGTTGCCGTTGTTGTTGTTGTTGTTGTTGTTCTTGTTGTTGCTGTTGTTGCTGCTGCTGCTGTCCCGATGATGGCCGTTTCCGTTCCAAACACACGCTCTCTCTCTTTTGCTCGCTGCTCTCTCTCTCGCTGTGTGGTTACGCTCTGCAGTCGGTCGTTTCGTTTCATTTTATGAATGAATTCTCGTTGCTTGGACTCTCTTCGCGTGCGCGCTCTCTCTCCAGTTGGTTCTCGCTCTCTCTGTCGTTCGCTGTCCCTCTCTGACGCTGGCGTCGCTACGGATATGCAGCGACGGACGCGATCGTTTCGTTTCAGTTCGTTCCAGCCAAATCCGAAAGATACAACAGACCCAGAGATACACAGAATTACAAAATTATACTACATTTTGTGTTTTGCGCTAAATAAATTTCCATTAATCTGTAGAACTCTAAAAATGTATCTGTGCCTGTGTCTGTGCTCTTGAGTGTAGTTGTATCGCGCGTATCTGTGTGTTTTAGTGTTTAAATAAGCTACAAAAAATCTATTAGCTATAGTTATTTGTTGACAGTGTACTAATGTGTCTGTGATATACATGCAATTAACGTCTTAATTGCAATTGAGGCTTGAGATACATTTGTATCCGACAGGCTCGAACGGGGTGACGACTCGACTTTCACTGACATTTCGGGGTCAAATGTGCGCGCGCCTTGATTGTGCCACCACACCACACCAATCAATTAGAATCAATTGAAGAACTCTTCTCTCAATCTCGATCTCGTATCTCAAAGATACCCCACCCTTGTATCCGTCGGAATTGTTTTGACATTTGACACCCACAGCGGCAACAAATCGTTAAGAAGTCAAGAATCAACTAGAGAATCAGTTACCGCCTGATTATGACCAATGAGTGGATCGATTGGAGCGACAGTCGCATGCTGCCCCCACTGAGATCCGCCCACTATAACCATCATCATCATCATCAGACCCTCCTTCAGAATTGCAACAACAACAACAGCAGCAACAATAACAGCAGCAACAACAACAACAACAACAGTAGCTATCAAAGCTTCTCCAGCAAATTCCATCTTAAAGCCCATAAACTCCAGCAGTTGTCCACCAATCACAGCCGACTGAAAGGTTTACCTCTTTGCCTCTCTCTCTCTCTCTCTTTCAATCTGTCAATGCTGCAACGGTAAACTAATCAATGTATTTCATTTCTGTATCTTTTAGATGTGCCCACTGCCTTGCCACCCCTTACGCCGGGCACCAATCGCAAGGTCAACGAGGTGCTCAAGGCCAGCTTTGCATCCTGGGAGAAGGAGGTGCAAAAGTACAACATAACCAAAGGTAAGATCTATACACTAGAGGGAAGGGTTCTTTGAAGTATCTATAGGATACCCAAAGATGTTCATTGCATTCTTGATTGGATTTTATTTCTCGCTGAACAAGTTGCCTTCTCTCCAATGACATCCCATACATGTCTCAAAGAAGTGTTGCCCAAAAAAACTATCCCTTACCCAATGAAATAATTCCGATGCGCTATCAAAATGATAGAATTAAAATATTAATAGAATTCCCACAGCAATAACAAGCACACAATTGCGCGAACTCCCACGCTCCATAATTAAGCGCCCAGCCCCAGAGAAGCCCAGAAAGAACCCCAGAGCCGGGAGGCATTAGAAAACGATTAATTTTCATTTGAATTTACATTTCTATTACTATTTTCATAAATGAATATATATTTCCATTTTCTATAGATCCCCGTGAGTGGACGGAGGAGCATGTCATCTATTGGCTGAATTGGGCCAAGAACGAGTTCTCGCTGGTCTCCATGAACCTCGATCCCTTCTATAAGATGACGGGTCGTGCCATGGTCGAGTTGGGAAAGGAGAAATTCCTGGCCATTACGCCGCCCTTCACCGGCGACATACTGTGGGAGCATTTGGATATCCTACAGAAAGGTAAGCACTACGTGAGGGGAATTTTAGTGGTCCACTGGCGCCAGCAGATACAACAAATAAGTGGAATGTACATGTACCTGCCCCAAGAGCGAAAGGAGAGCCAAAAGCCACTCAAAAACGGAAGTCTGTCTAACAAAGTCAAGGGGTTGGACACTGGGGTGGGGTTCTACAGTGGAAGTTCGATGGCAGGCGACCACTTTCTCAGCTTACATTAGAATGGGACCAAAAATGTAACAAACAAAAATCCATGTATAAAGAGTGCCTTTCAAAATATTTCATTATCAGTTATAGTTCCATAACTAAAATAGTGATAAATCGGTTAAGTTATCTTGAGCTAACGATAGTTATCGTAACCCTCGTCGTGCCTATTCTCCCTCGGTCTTTGCCTTTCAAATACCGCGACGTGACATTACAAGCAATGGAAATGTGTGAGCTCCAAGCGATAGTGTAATTTCTACATATTTTTTTAAATCGATGAAAGTCTGTCCACCCTGTACCATATCTCTGTCGAAGGAGAGGGCTCCGATTGCCCCAAAGGCGACTTCACTGTACTCCATTGCATAGGTTGGGGGACTTCAACTGCTTCACTGTTAGGACCTGTTGCGCCATTTCCATCACCCCCCTCTGTGCTCCTGCTGTCGCTTCCTGTCCGGCGCTGCCTGAAATTCGATTTCTCATCGAGGTCGTTCCCGGGTCGGATGTTGAATCAAGTGGCACAGAAAAATCCTAGAAGGGGCAGCAAGCGAGCGAAAAAAAGAGGCGAAATAAATTTTGTATACAAATAATATAATTTATTGAGTTTAAAAAGCTCTTAGTGCTCGGGTCGACCTGATTAGTGAGTTCAGGGTTAGGTATTTTTATGCTAATAACTCAATTTATTGTGCAACGGAACAGCCATTTACTATACGACCTTTTTTTTTTTTTGGGACAAACCCCATTTTAATTTTTCACATTTTCACAGATTGCGAGAAGCCAAATGAGGATATTGTGCACGGCAACTCCTTTGAGTCGTCGGCCACCACTGCCTCGGTCTGTGGATCGGACCATCAGGTAGCCCCCAATTACCCCACGTCGAACACGGGTGGCACCGAGGGTACACCCAACTCCTCGCAAACGGCGGGGCTCTCCAGTAATAATACCAGCAATAATACCAATAACAACAACAACAATAGCCGCCTGTCCTCAATGGATTATGTGACGGGAGCGGGCAACAGTGATAAAAGCAGCTTCCATCCAGCATCCTCCCAGCACAATGGTAAGTGGATTATTTCCTCAAATTTATCGTGTATCTAGGGATACATTTCAAATTTAAACTGGGTTACTGGTCTTAAAATAATCACTGACGAATCTCAACAATTACAAATCCCAAGGACCCAAATCGAGGGATCCTGAGCGTTAAGCATATGATGCTACGGCAGATACTAGGGTCTACAGTTTTACTTCTACTACGATTTGGGAGAGCTTTTGCCCCCGAAAATATCATGAAAAGGGGTTCTTTAAGCTAACCCAGTCTTATTTTTCACACAAGAATGCTCTTCTCATTGCTGTCGGAATATTTGAAGAGTTTTTGAGTAAAACAATGAAGAATTTTCTCAGAATTATAAACCAGTTTGAGCTTCAATTAAGTATTCGTTAGCGAATTTTTCAAATCGTTTGAACCATTTGTATCTTTGATTGAGAAATTATAAAATTATTTGTGTACATAGATTACGAATTATGTTGCATTGTAAAACATTTAAAAAATGTATCACTAAATGACATGCCATAGATTCTTGCAATTAAAAATTGCATTTATTCATTCTTTTTTGCCTACTGTTAAAGATGCCTTCGTTAATTTGTTTTAATTTGTGCAGTTCAGCACCCTTGATTATTCATAAATATGACAGGAAATCATCGAAGGACACTATTTTCTATCTTTAGATACGGGAAATATTTAATCCATCAGATACGCAATCCTTCAGCTCATACGCAAATAACTCCACTAATCATTCATTTCAATTATTATAATCAAATTTATGTGCAAGTAAATTTTGTGCATTCACTAAAATTACACTTAATCGATATCCGACGATGAACGACATCCGCCAATCGATGGATCGCATCAGATCGAAGCTGAATCTGAATCAGAAGAATCATTAACCGATCATCAGCCTTTGTTTATGGCACATCCTCTCGGGTGTAGTCGATTTGCGGTCAAATGATGAACGATACGAGCCATTTTGGCCATTATTCGGATCAGTATTTGGCATGTGTTTAGTGTGCATCCGGCCTGCTGGCCCCTTGAACTAAAATCAAGAGCAAATCCATAACTAAATTCAAATCGAGAGCCAATTTAAACAATTCATTTGCACATACATACATGCATATGTACATATGTGTGTACATACTCGAATATATCTTGTATCAATGGCAGCATCAGCAGATACACTCGTATCTGTCTTATGGATGCATCCACAGGGAGCGTTTTGACTTTGTTTAACATTCCATTCCCCTGTGATTTGTATTTTTAATTTATTTATGTGAAATTGAAACGGAAATTAAATTTTAAAACAAATAGCAAAATCCGTCTGTCTGTCGCTGTCGCTGTTGCTGTCGCTGGAGCCTGGCGCCAGCGTAGGCCGCGTAGAGACAGAGACTCCGCTCTGGGGCTGCGGCATATCTAAATATCTATTTAAATTGTTTACATATTAGGCACGGGAAAAGATAGACGCCAGTGGCACAGCTTGAGATTGAGATACATTTATTTAATGCGTGTGGCTGTACAAATTGGAACAGGGGAGCCGGGCAGGGCAGCAGACAGCAGGCAGCATCATCAAGCCCCCATTGTGTGCACAGGTCATCGGTGGCAGTGTCAAGATGATGAAGTATCCGATACAAAATATTGAATGATTAATCAACTTTGCCCCACAGCATGCACCCGTCTGCAGTCTCCGGCAGTCAGTCCTGTCTCCGATCCGATCCGATGAAAGTTTAGTGGCAGCAAAGCCCACTCCTCACATTATAATAAATTAATTGAATTTATGGTCTTTGACACATTATGACCATAAATGCTCAAAACATTTACATATCGAGACCCAGCGGCTGATCCAGGCGTGTGCGCGGCTAATGAAACAATCAAATCATTTGGCCAGATCAAATAACATTAAAAATTAGGGAGAAAAACACTCGAGCAGTGGGTATACCCTGTCTTTGTTGATGGTTTATGGATCTTCAACGAAAACGTTGTTCCTTTTGGCTATTCAAGAGTTTTGCTTCATGTTTTTGCTGGCGCCTATATTGAGTTTGTTAGTAGTAGTACTTCCATGCAATCGGAAATACCATTTCCGCATTGCATTGTTGAGCCTAGTAATCCTCATTTCCTAATAGTGTTTCCTTAATTTAAAGTATATTGCCAATGCATAATAGCACGCGTACTCGAGACTTGAGACTCACTTGAATCGTCTTAAAAAGTTGAGTTGCTTTTGAGTGTTTGATAACACATCGACTAGAAACCTTTTGTAATCGTAATCGTAACTTCCCAGAAACCATATCTATTCTCTTCAAATTATGAACATTTGCTGGGATGTAAACTACAATAATTACCAACAAATTTTTCATACATTTATAAAAACAAAACATTAAACATATTAAAACTAAAAATATTTTATGGAAAATATTGCAGTTCAGTTTCCAATTTTCAGTCGGGTGACCCCGACATGCAAACAAAAATTAAGAATCTTTGCTAAGGCTTCGAACTGTGATTATTTTAAAGCATGAAGCTCTGAAGTTTTGTTTTGGGGCATAAACATCCTCTAGTCTTTAGCTATCTTTAAGTGAGAGTATCTTAGACTCCAGCGTAATCCCCGTGATCATTTCAGTGGCTGTGCGCTTTGAGTTTTTCAATTTGATTCAATCATTTGTACATATGTACATAAGTATATGCACACATCTCGGTTCTCCGTTTCGCTGTTAATGTTGTCCCTGTTCTCATCATGGTTGTTGTTATTATTATTTCAATCTTGTGGATAAACCACTCAGTGGGGGCCCCCTCTCTCTCTCGTACTCTCTGTCTGCATTGGCCCGCATCTACAGAAATTATGCGGTAGCCCCGACCCTACACTCACGTGTAGGCTTTTTCTTAATTCGTTTCGATTGTCTTTTTGTCAGTCATTAATTTGTGGCATTTGCATATTATTGATGATCATTTGCATATCCCTGGAACTGTCTGGTCTGTGTGTGAAAAATTGATTGACCCCCGCGACTGTGGATACACGAGTGCTGTGTCTTTGAAGAGAGGATTTTTATTCCCTATATTCCCCTGTTGCGTGACTCTGTTGACACTCTGTTGAACCCGTGTTGCTCCCTGGATTTTGCAGTCAAACAATTATGCAGATGAGTGGCCTACAGTTTATGGGTTCCAGGTGTTTGCTTATGCCTGAAGAAGACCTTCAAGGATGGATTGGGGGGGAGGGAGGGTGCTCGGGCCTTAAAACTCACTCATTAAGACTAAAAACAAATTATGATTAATTACAGACATTAAGAATCGAGTTCATGCCTTTGGCAAACAACGTTTCCAAATGGGAAAAATGGAAACATGGAAAAACTAACCAAAAACCAAAATAAATAATAATGAAAACAGTGTCATGAACACACGCTTCACTTTTGGCCAAGTCAACCAAGTGGATCTTCTCTTCTTTTAATTTTTGGGGGCTACAGCTACAGCGTGCCCCCACCCTCTCGCCCCTTTAGATCGTGCAACACCTAAAACTACTACACGATGGTTGGAAAAATCAACGAAGCGCAAAAAAGCTGAAAATGCCTCAAAGTTTCATCATCATTCCAAAGGGGGGGTGGAGACACACTGAATGATTTACGATCTTGCACTTTAACGCAGATTTTGTTGCTGTTGTGTTGTTGTTGTTTCCCTCCTCAACACTCACTCACTCGCTCGCCTCGCCATTCATTCATTTATTCATTCATATTGAAAGTATTTTCCTTTTTTTGCCTACAATCAATATACAGACATACGAAAGATACAATAGCTCACAGATACACAGATAAGCTCACATATGAGCGCTGGATGATTGCTACTATACATCTACATCTACACACATCCATGACCAGAGAGACCCCAGACCCCAGACCCCAGAGCCCCAGAGCCCCAGAGACCCCCAGAGCCCAGGGTCTTTTCAATGTTTTGGTTGAGAGCATATCTAGGCTAGTGTATCTGTATCTTAGATATTTGCACGCAAAATTGTTGCTATCTTTCGGATTCATTGTTCTTCTTTTGGCTTAAAATTTTGATTTGTTTTTGCTGTCTTTCGAGGGACACGAGAGATCACATCCACTCGTACCTTTATGATGTCATTTCCAACTCATCCCTGGATGAAAACCCAAAAACGAATTCAAGTTTATTTCCCTTTGTTCATCTACAAAAAAAAGTTTTAGATTTGCAAAAATTCTATTGGAGTTTGTTCTCTCTCTCGCTCTCTCTCTCTTTTTTAGTGCCGAGTGTATCTGTATATTTTGTATCTGTATCTCTGGCTCTGGCTCTTGCTGTTGTTATTTTTTTATTTCTACATAATAAAGTGCCTGATGCGTGAAATGTTTGTCCAAGCTTGAAGAGTTGTTGCCATTGTTGTAAGCCTCTAGCCTGCCGCCGGCTGTTGATTCATGTTCATCATCATCATCATCATTCATCATCATCGGTCGTTTCAGCTCTATAGAACCTCTGCTCTCCTAAGTGTAGCTCAAACTTCACAGTTCCATTCCCCACTCTTCGATCCTCTGATCCGTGGATCTCTGGCTTACAGAATGACACATGTAATGCACATTCGTAGATACATTTTGTAGCGCAAGCGAATGCTGCTCTGCTCACATGTCTTTGGGCATTCTATCTACCATGTGACAGTTTGTGGAATCTCTTGAATCTCTTTCGTTCACTCTCTTGCTCTCTGCTGCTGCTGCCTGTCAAGTTTAGTTACAGTTTGTTGATTTTGAAAATGACAATGGAATGACAATCTTTTAGTTCTCCGAGAAAGACGGAGACAGCGACAGCAGACACAGACAGCAGACAGTGACATGTGGCAGACGTCATCCATGAAGGTAGACGACACAAAGATTATGCTCAACTTTTCACTTTCGTTGGCGATTTGTTTGCTCAAGTCATGGGGCACTCATGGGAAAGTTATTATGGAAGTGTTCTTTTTGCTAGAAAAAAAAGTGATGAAAATATGGTGTAGGAATTTTTGGGGAAAGTGTCTTGAAGATTCTGTG